GATTCACATGTGAAGTTGTGGAAGCGCTCGAACAAATTACACTATCTCTTTCCCTTGGGAGATTTCGCAGTAAGAGTAAGTCGAATGGTGAAATTTTTGTTAGTCAAGTCATCGTCAATCTACATCGTGATTTTGTGGAAACCAAGCATTCATCAATTTCAAGCAGTGACTTCAACGTATCATATGAAATTGAAATTCCCGACTCCCCGAGGAATCGGTGAGGAAGTTGGAGAGCACCGCATCGCGAGAGAATGCTATGCTAATACTATTCAAAGAACGATGGGACCTTTGAAACAACAAGGTGGACGATGCCACATATCTTTGAAATCTCGAGGCAAAGAGAAGTTAGCATGTTCATCAACATATGAAGAAATGCATTTTATTGAAAATCAACCTGACGAAGACATGCGTCTGGCGGCAGCTGAAACATTATAAGCAATTGAAGTGGTACCGGGGGATCCATTTAAAGTGACCAGAATTGGAGCTGACTTAGCGCCTGAGGTGGAAGAGGCAATTATTGTTTTCTTACGAAGCAATTCTGATGTTTTTGCCTGGAGTGGAGAAGATCTACCGGGAATACCTGAAGAATTCACTATGCATCATTTGGATGTAGATCCTAATGCAAGACCAATCAAACAAAAGAAAAGAGCCTTTAGGCCAGTTAGGAGTCAGTATATCAAGGGTGGCTCGCTAATCTTGTCCAATCTTGTCCTAGTAGAGAAAAAAGGAGGCAAGTGGAGGTTATGCGTGGATTTCGCACATTTGAATAAAGCTTGTCCAAAAGATCCATATCCTCTATCAAGAATTGATTTATTGGTAGATTCAACATCAGGTTGCGAGTTGCTGAGTTTCATTGATGCTTATTAAGGATATAACCAAATATGGTTAGCCTCGGAAGGCCAGGAAAAAACAAGCTTTGTAACCGACCAAGGAATCTTTTGCTATGAGGTAATGCCCTTCGGACTGAATAGCGCTGGAGTCACCAACCAACGCCTTGTCAACTCAATGTTTTATGGCATGCTGGGACGCAACATGGAAGCCTATATAGATGACATGTTAGTTAAGAGCGTTATCTCCTCAAAGCATACTAATGATCAAGATGAGTGTTTTACTATTTTGAGAATGTATTGAATGAAGCTCAACCCTGAGAACTGTATATTCGGAGTCAGAGGAAGAAAGTTTTTGGGTTATTTAATCTCGCAACGAGGAATAGAGGCTAATCTAGAAAAAATAGAAGCTATCATAAAAATGTCGCCTCCTCGGACTTTAAAACAAGTGCATGAACTAACAGGCCGGATGGCTGCTCTCGATCGGTTTTTATCTCGATCAAGCGAAAAGGGACTACCGTTTTTCTAAATTCTCCATCAAGGGAAGCGTTTCAGTTTCTCCGATGAATGCCAGCAAACATTTGAAGATTTAAAGAAATATTTGAGTTCGCCACCCTTATTGAGTAAGCAAGAAACGGGAGATATATTGTCCTTTTATCTAGCGGTGGCGTCAGAAGCAGTAAGTGTTGTTCATGTAAATCAAGTGAATCGTGAACACCATCCAGTATACTACATTAGCCGAGTACTGCAAGGAGCTGAGCAACGCTATAGCAATATGGAGAAGCTGGTTTTTCTATAGTAACGACTGCTCGGAAATCGCGCCCGTACTTCCAATCTCATCATGTGGTAGTTCTATCCAACCACCGTTTAAAGCATATATTGTCAAGTCCCAAAGCGTCGGGAAGAATGGACAAGTGGACTGCCGAATTAAGCCAATATGGATTGGACTATAATCCTCACCTGGCTATAAAAGGCTCAAGTGTTGGCAGATTTCCTCGTTGAGATGGCAGGATTCGAAGAAAGCAATTCGGCTCCAACCTGGCTAGCTTATGTGGATACGAAGCTCGATCTCCACGCTTCAAATAACGAGGCGGAATACGAAGATTTTATAACAAGGATCCGTTTATCCCTAGCTGCTAGAGCCCGAAAGCTTGTTATACATAGTGATTCGCAACTTCTAGTGAATCAAGTCTCGGTAGATTATGATGCAAAAGAAGAAAAGATGGTGAAATACCTTGTCATAGCCAAAAAGTTATTATCGCGGCTTGAGGATTTTGAAGTCAAGAAAATTCCGCGAACCGCCAAAAATGGAGCAGACGGTTTATCTAAACTGGCCAGCTCAATGTCTAATATTAATAGCTGGTGGATTACATTTTTAGTTTTTCTAGGTCGAAAATTGACACTTTAGATGTAGTGATGTGCAATGAGGCTGCTGAGCTGACATGGAAAGATGAGTTGGTGCAAAACCTAACATTAGGAGAACTCCCATCCGACCAATCTCAAGCACGTAAAATATGTACCCGAGCCGCTCATTTCACCATGGTGGATGATGAGTTATAGAAAAGAGGTTTCACTCCACCATTTCTGAAGTATTTGACGCCACAAGCAGCGGTCTACGTACTTCGAGAAATTCATGATGGTATTTGCGGTAATCATCTCGGGAGGAAAACATTGGCGGGAAAGGCACTTTATCAGTTACACGCCAATATAGCCCATCAACCGGCCGCATTACTTCAACCAATGGAGTGTCCCATACCTTTTGCCCAATGGGGTATCGATTTGATAGGCCCATTTCCACTGGCTACAAGACAAATGAAGTTTCTCATCGTGGCCGTCGACTATTTTACTAGGTGGGTAGAGGCTGAACCAGTCGCCAAAATTTCTGAAAAAGAAGCTATCAGTTTTTTATGGAAAAATATTGGTTTGCAGATTCATTAATATGAGATAATGGAACGCAATTCGCCGGTTCAAAGTTGAAAGATTGGTGTGAAGGCTTGCACATCAAGCATTTTTTTTACCTTAGTATACACTGGTGAATTACTTGTAAATCCTATAGTCTAATTGTCTACAATATTATAACAAAATGGATATTATACAAAAGGATTTTAATAATGATGAGTGAATAGTTGTGAAAAATTCCCCAATTATCAAATGCCAAATACCTCGATTTTCTATTACTTTACTACTTTCAAGTCTCATCGGACTTAAAGTACAAAACCAAATGATCTTAAAAAAAAAAAAAAAAAAGATCACCTTAATTACAGTAAAAGAGATCGGAAAACCAAAACCAAGAAACTATGCCTCAAGTATTGAAATTTGAAAATCAATAATAACCTATATATATTTATATATATCACATGATGGTACACGACGGCTCATAGCTTGGGCTCCTCATCTCATAAATTGGGTATTGCGGGAATCCGTCGTACGGCGCCGCGTACGACGTCCAGACCACCCCCGGCTGTGGGGCGGGCGCAACCACTGCGGCCGCGGCGGCGGTGGCGGGCGCCTCCTTCTTGGCTTCGCCCACGCTCACAAGCTCTGCGTAGGCAACATTCTTCCTCAACTGCCGTGTCAGCTCCACCGCGTCCACGTCATCTCCGACAACCTCCACCCTGTCCCTTTCTTGCCCCGTTATAGCCGCCGATTCAACACCTGATATTCCGACCGATATTTGCATGGCCTTTGTTCGAGATTTGTCGTCGTTCATTGACACCTTAACCACAATCACTACTAGAAAATTGAGATTTTGCTACGGACATTAGAGACGGATAACTAATTCGTTGCTAAAATGAATATTTAGCGACGTAATTAGCGAAGGAAGACAAGAACGTCACTTTAGTCTTAAATTGTAATCGTAGTGACAAACGTTAGTGACGGATAGAAAATCCGTTGCTGTCAAAAATAATTTGCAACGTAATACAGCGACATAAGATCCTCCGTTTCTAAAATAAAAGGTTGTAATGAAGGCGACGGACAACATATATCGTTTAACAACTTCAATTATAAGTTGTAATTATATATTCATGGATAAAAATAATAACAAATTAAATAATAGTTTCAAATTTACATCATCAATTCTATCATAAACCATTTACGGTTTGATAGTAAGATTTATATAGCAGTGATCTTGTTTAATAATTAATCTTCAATGAAATATAAAATAAACTTATTAAATCCCGTTTCTTTTGCGTATTTTATTTTTCATTTCCCTCTTAATTACTTAATGAAGACCCCAATTAACCCTAACCTTCTCCACTCAATATTTCTCTCGCCCTCAAATACCTGGATCTGGCGCCGCTTTGCATTTTTAACTCCACTACCATCGGTTCTTAACCATTCATTTGCAATCGCTTTCTCTCTCCAGTAATGGGTTATATTTATTATGAGGAATCCGCGAGACGAGGCCGTGCCAGTTCTATCGGAAGGGAAAGAAGCAGGGCAGATATGTGAATAAGAACTTATGGAGAGGAATTTTCAGTGATTTCTCTAATAGAGAATGCAACCTTCATATGTAAAGGTACCGGTGAATTGATTCAATAGATAATTTTAAATATTTACTATTTAATTTCTTATTTTTGTGCCGAATAAATTCTAAGATCCAGTTTAATTGCTCATGGGTAGGTACTAAATGTTTGATGGAGATAAAATTCTAATTGCTCGGAACTTCCAGATTCGATGTAAGAATTATGTGCTTTTTAGTTTTTATATATGCTCATTTTTAGGCTGCAAATGGGCTGTTATAGCATATTAATTTTTAACCAAGCATTTTTAGGTTGCAAATAAACTAGTTAGTTTGTTGCACATATTGTTTTTTTCACTAATGACTGAATTGCTAATTTCGTTAATGACCATTAACGTCTTCTCTCTTCTTCAACCTTGAAGTTATGTTTGAAAGAAATCCAAGTATCATAACAAGGAAGAACTGGTGGTTTGCGGGATAAATGCTTGGACTAGAAAAGTGCAGAAAGGTGAAATGTAATGCATTACATTTTTAGTTTATTATGTGGTATGGATTCTGACTGATCCATAATTAATTTTTTTATACGTTTTTCCCTTTTCCATTTTTTTAACATTTCAGCTACTGAAAAAACTTGAAGGTTGAAGAAGTTGATTGTATCTTGGCATGCATCCTACTGTGTTAAGAAGATACTTCAGGTATATCTTAAAAAACCACATGCATTAGCACTTCAATTTTTTTTTTTGTTTGTGGTTTCTCCTAAGTGACTCTATCTTTGTTCTTATGTATTCTCTCCCCTATCTAGCTAGTAAAAAATGATTTGCATAATTTTAGGAGCATCAATGACATTTTTTTAACTTTTACAAATAATATTCGTCTTTGTCAACTCATTCATTTTATAAGATTTGAATTTTGTGGAGGTATATATTTACTACTTCATTTTTCTGTTATAGCAGGCTAAATATAAGACACTAATACTATTTGAATGGCATGTTTGAGATATACAAGTTGATGGAAAAGGAAATGAAGATGCAAGAATGAAGAATAGATGAAGAGAGAAGATGTAAATGAAGAATAGGATTGAAATTACTAGTTTTGACTATGTTTATCTTTTTGATTTGTTACTATGATTTTAACGAAAATTTAAGACAATAATGGTTGAATTTGTATATGTTCAATTAATATTATTATATATATTTATATATTTTTTAAATACATCAATACCATATATGGTATTGGTGTATTTAAAAAATATTTTTTTTATTTGTTTTGACAGAGTTTTGTAACGGATTTAGTAAAGGATACATCTCTTTCTAATAAGAATATTTGTTTCAACTAGCGACGGATTAATGGATTTAGCGACGCAATATATTGCGTTTGTGGATCGGATTTAACGACGTCATTATTGACGGATTATTCCGTCTCTAAATGTAGCAACGGATAGTATATATTCGTAGCAAATTTTAGCGACGCGCCTTTTAGCGATTTATTTAGCAACGAACCATTTTTGTTGCTAAATACTCAATAGCGACAGATTTCGGCCAATTTGCGACAGATTCGTCCGTTGCTAAATGGCAATTTTCTAGTAGTGAATCTTCTTCTGCAATTCATCAAGCAAATTAAATTAAAACAAACAATTTAGTTTCAAAATTAAGAACTAAGAATCTAATTAAAGGAAGAACTTGAAGTTTAATCTCTACTAAAATACCTTCATTTTCTTGAATTTGATGGACTTTTAAGATGGTCTCAATGTAAGGATTGGAGAAGACAAAAAAAATTAGCTATGTGTGAAATTTATGTCACGAATTGGGAAGAAAGAGAGAGTGAATATTTATAGAGCTCTCAATGAAATTTGAGGACTA